TTTGTCAAGAACAAGCATTACCACAGATTTCTTTATGGTAAAGGAAAAAGAATGTTCAGTAAGAAGATCCATGACAGCAATAACATCACTTTGTTATATAGCTCACAGCTGAATGTGGAAAAAGCCTGAAGATCAAGAACGGCCGGATGTTACCACAGACAAATAAAACTCGATCAGAGATAACAGAGTTTACATGCTCGGTGAAGAAATAGCAAGACTGTATTGCCATTAAGAATCTAAGTAAAGAGATTTCCTGACCTGAGTCACCGCAACCGAGTTTTCAGAGCTTCACCTCAACATCTACACCGGCAGGAAGATCAAGTTGCATCAAGGAATCGATTGTTTGGGCAGTCGGGTATAGAATATCAATCAACCGTTGGTGGGTCCTGATTTCAAAATGGAACCTTGCGTCCTTGTGAACATGCGGGGACTTGAGAACACAGTAGATACGTTTCTTGGTCGGTAATGGCACTGGGCCCATCGTCTTTGCGTTGGTATTTCTTGCTGCCTCAAGTATCTGCTTGCACGAGTCCTCAATAAGAGGCACCCAGTAGGATCTAAGCTTTATCCTAATCTTTTGCTTTGGCGCCATCTGCTAACAAGAAGCATCCAATCTTAAAAGAGATGTAACAGTAATACCCACCGAATTCCTATAACAATTTGAAGAGGAAGATACACAACAAAATAGCATTTTTCCAACTAATAGATATTCTGATGAAGCGATATCAACTATTCGAAACCATTCGTGCAAGAATCGATGTGACAACATAAATTACGGAACCACTAGCAGTGAAATGAAGTATCAAACTTCGAACGGTAACCTTTGAACTTATAATTGCTTATTCAAAAACCTTAAAACCTTCCTTAGTAGAGATCCTCAAGGCTTATACTGAGTTCTACAGAAACATTTGTTCCCATACTATATAGCAGCATAAGCTTCCACTGTAATATACCTAAGAAAATGGAAAAGGATATTACTTTAGGAGGGTTTGCAAAACGTCCCAAGGCTAAAACAGCATGGTAAACCAACCAGAAATTTGAACGCATCAACAATGTCTACCCACGGACAAGCGGCATTTCTGAAGTTATTACTGCTTTTCCGAGAAAATATAATATGGTAACTGAAATCTCACGACAATCGAGGACATATTCCCAATAATGATAGGGTACCTTATCCACCTCTGCAATGACCGAAGAAGCGGTCCGAACCTGAATTTACACGAGAAACAAATGTGCAACGTAAATGAATACTGATCAAGCACAGCCTCTACGTTTCAACTAAGCGCGAGCATGGACTTGTAAAGTAGCCGAATTAACAAAAGACGTTCAGGAACCAAACAGAAAATGCGAAAAAAAAAATATTAACGATTCCGCGTTTTCTCAGCGGATAAACAAAGTTTCCGAGAATGACAAACAGCGAAATGGGTACCTCGGATTCCTCGGAACCAGATCCCTCGAGGACTTCAGGAGCTGGATCTAGGGTTTCAGGGGCAGCGAAGACCCTTGAGGAGGAAGACGAGGGTTTAAGGGCGCAGGAACTGAAGCCGCTACGGATGGAAGACGGAAACAGGGAGAGCGAAGAGACCTTTAGTCGAGAATTAGAAGCAGAAGAAGCTGGGATTACGAGAGAGGGCAAAAGGATTGAAGATACAGAAGCAACCGCCATGGAAATTCTTCTCCTTTCTTCTTCCCGAGTCACTACGACTGTTCTGTTATCCAAAATCGAAAAGCTTTAGTATTTTGCTTTTTGTTTTTGGTTTATTGAAAATTTATCTGAAACCCATATAGTGTAAAGGCCCACCAAATAATACTCATTGGGCTAAGAAAACATTTTGGGCCTTTTAACACATTTGGAAAAGACGAGATTCTGGAAATAAACAGATTCAGAACAGGTTGCCAAGATTCTGGAAATCCGTTTGTACTAACCTAACAATCACAAACGCAGACATACACACGAATGTACATAATTACACATACCTTTGTTACATCATCTGACCTAAACCGACAGAACATAGATCGGAGGATCCTGGTCGACACAAAAAATGGCAGTTTTGTAGGAGAGGTTGGAGTTCATGGAACAGACCAGAGGCCGGCAGAGGCTTCTGCAACTCTCCTCATGTGCCGAGGTTGGGTGCTCGGGCCGACAATGGCGCTCCATACGAGTATCTCCACTGGCCACAAGCCTCGCACTTCTCCAGCTTCATATCGTTTTCTAACGTGCAGAATTTACACGACCATATCTTGAACTTGACCCCCTTGTCCTTTGGCCTTGCTCCGCTGCACAACTCGCATATTGGAGCCAGTGGCTGCTCAAACAAACAAGATTACTCAGGAATGGATAAGAATTCTATAACATTCTGGGTCTGAGTGCTCGCCCACGTTTAGAAAACTTACAATCTGTATGGTAGTAATAATATGACGACTTACTGGATTCAATAAGGTGCAAGTGGCACATTCCCACATGGCAGATTCATTGGCAATGCAAGTTATATTTGAACTGTTAGACGACGAAGCTGCGTCCTGGGGTTTGCAACATCGTTTAGGAGATCTAGTATCAGGACCATTCTCTGTTAAATCAATCACATCCAATCGCCATTGATGATTGGTAGACGAAGGAAGTGAATTGTTGTTGTTTGACCAACCACTTCTTTTCCCTAATCTTGCATCTGGAGTAGAGCGATAAGATCTACCATTGTCACTCGAGCTCGTAGAACTTCCCATAACTCGAACAGACTCTTTGTGGATATCACCGTTCTCTTCCTCTGCAAGAGCCTCTGCAGAATGAGAACCACACCAGATATCATCAAGCAAGCGTCTTTCTGCTGCCATTGCAGCAGCTTGAATTGGACTCAGTGCTGACATAATGGTGCTATCACCGCCAAGACGATGGGACCCTGATGGTAGCAAATTGCCAGCTCGTACTCTTTTCTCTGCAGCTGCAGCTGCTGTTGCTCGAAGAGATGAAGAAGGTGGATGACGAGTAAATCCTCCCAAACGCTTCCCAGGAAGATCAAACCCCTGTCCGGTTCCTGATATCCCCTTCATTATCAACTCCTCACATTCCTGGACGTGATGAAATTGCGTAAATACTGTTGGAAATAAACACATAAGGGAACACATAAGGAAAATTAGCCTAGTTTCCCGCCATTTTCTTTAAGCTACATTTTCACAGCTAGAGAGCAGTTTTAGAGTACATATATATCATATTCCCACGATCACAGGCACTTCAACCACTGATCGGCTTCAACAAAGGCAACACTAGTTAGAGAATTCACAAAGCAGGAGTTTGGAACAGTAATAGCAAGGCAATATATAACAACACAACCTCCTACTCGCAACTGTTAAAATTTTATAATGTCCAGCTTTCCATGTTCATCTCAGACCAAACCTAAGGGCTTGCTATCAGAATCTCTGAACTTACCAGCCTCATGAAAGCACAGATAGAACAAGCAAGGAATATAGACATGGCCCAGATGAATGCACCACATTGAAAAGCAACAGCATGCAGACAAAACAGAATGAAGTCTGTCGGTTGAATTTAATTACCCTTCGAAGTTCATCCCAAAGCTTATAGAAAGTGGCATTATGAGGACCATGGACATTGTGGCAAAGCTCATGGAGCATGGTATCAAGAATTTCATTGAAAGAGAAGAAATCCCATTCACGGTTTTGTCTCCTGAGCCTCAGCTTTACATGCACGCCCCTACATACATTGACTCCCAAAAGTGCTGGATTTTTTGGACTGCATTTCGATTATGAGAGAAGAAACGATATGATATAAAATCAGTACGGTGATTACTCTTCATCGATCACAACTAAGACACAAATAGATGGGAAACGGAAAATATCACCATATATAATCACATTTTTCGTCAAATTTAAACAAGGATCTCTGGAGCCGTATCAAACAAATGCTTTCCATGTAAGACAACACAAGGAAATGAAAGTTCAACGTTTATCAATCTGAAATTTCGTCTATAACTAAATGGAAACGGCAAAACAAGAGGGAGAAAAAAATGTTACCAGAATTCAGAGAGAAGCTTGACCCTCCATTTTCGTCTCGTCATGATCGGCTGAACCTGCTTCGCTACTTTCTCCAGAATCTTCCGTGCTTCATCTTCCCCTGGTTTCTTCAAAGCTTTGATTTCCCATACCTTATTCAGATCTCCCAAATTCATCGGCCACCGATTTCAGATACAAAACCCTAGTTTTTCTTAGAAACGAATCGAAATTCGAAAAAACAAAAGGCTCCTGCGATCAGATCATGCTCCGTACATGGAATCGGAAGTGCAAACAAACAAGACCCACACAAGGGAAGCCAAAAAAAAATTCCGATGGGATTTGAAATTCGAAAGTGGCTTTGTTCTTACGGTGGTCTTACGTTGGCGGGACGATTGCACTTGCCCAGAAGAAAAAAAAAGCACAGGATTATAGTAAAGCCCGGCCCAACTCAAAATTTATAATTAAGCCCCAAAACTTTGAGAAATTCATACTTTTTACTCGCAAGATGGCTGGGCCCATATCCCATCTCCTCTCAGGTACCTGTTTTTTCGCAAACCCATCTGTGCCTATAAATAGATTTAGGGTTTCGTTTGTATACCAACCTTTCCGCAGAATCTTTTGGTACTTCGCTGGTTTCCCTTTTAACAGTTGCTATAGATTGGTAACATCATCACTATGGAGGAAATTGAAGCAAGGCTGAAGCATTTGCGGGCAGGAGGGACATCCAAAACTGCTCCAAACCAAGAAAATGATGTTCCTGTTCTTGTCGTGGATCCAAAATATGCGGATTTACCAGACCTCAGTAACCTCACAGACCAAATGGTCCCCGTGAAAACAACATTCAACGACGATGAATATCTGAACGAACCAGGGGTTTTGCTGCAAGCGATCGACGATCAAACGACGGCGAGAATCGGAAGGAAGGTTATTCCGATGCTGAGTTGTGGATTTTCACCACGAGGGGCTGCAGCTATGTTCGTGTTAGCTTACCAGTTGAAGAATCCCTCTAATGGATCCAGAGTCTTCTCCGGGGCAGATGATGTTGCCCATATAGATGACAAACCGTGGGATGATTTCTCCGACACCATCTCATTCTCACCGACAGGTAGCAGACCTGAACCTGAAACCCTAGTAGCAGCTTCTGAATCTGAAATTAAACACGAGGCTTCTGTATATGCTTATATCGCTGCATCAACGTTGCGGATGTGTACCAAATCCGAGGAGAATTACATCAAGGCTTATACCCATATCATCAATGGGTACCAAAGGTTTTATGGAATCCCCTGCAGAATACAGCTCCCGACTCCCATGGTTGATGCTCTGAAAACACTGTCGTGTCTCATTTCACAAGCATTTAAGTACACCCTCTTTAGGATATTGTACATAGGGAGTGGAGATGGAAAGTGTTCAGGTTTGAAGAGGTTCTTGTATGAGATTCACTTGGAAAACACGGGTCTCCACATTGTAAGCATCTTTGATCAACTCTGCAGGGTTCTTGACTGTAAGCCTGCAGTCCTTCTCTCTGCAATAAACTCGCCAAGGTATGAAAGACAGATAAAAGCATTACGCCAGATGCTTAAGCTCGGGGAGGGTCGACCAGAAAACGCGAGGAAGATGTGGAGATTTGGGGGAATATACGATGATGCATTCATGTATCACCTCCGAACAAAGACGTGCCCATCACTTACATACGTCCTTGCATCAGCTTTGAAGATCGCATCTCCTGACAGGAATCAGGGCATCCTCAACATAAAGCGACTGCAGGATGTAAGCCCTGAGAAGAGAAGGATGTTTGATGAGGTGGCCAAGATTATAGTCAGAGATTGTAGGAACAAGTCTCTTCCTTCTTCTTCTTCCACCCTCTCTTCTTAGTTCATTTTTTTTTTGTTTCTTCTTAATGAGGATTCTGTGGAGAAAAAAGCAAATCAAATCAAAGTTATTGGAGTTTTATGGAAATGGATTGCATTAATGGAGTTGCAGGAACAGCCTTTTCCTTGTTTGTTCTCAAATCCAAACCAGAAAAAAGTGTTTGGTTTCTGTTATTGGGAACAAATGTTCTCGAGTTTCATTTAAACACATATTCAGACTGTGTTGTTGTGTAAATGTCCATTGCTTGTTTCGGGACACATTTGGGTCTAACACGATGCGGATATCAAAATCATCCAAAAAAAGGTTTGATTGCAGAGTCATTCATCCCAAATCATGACAATGGCCATCAAGACAACACCCAAAGACACAGCCAAGAACTTGTAAAGAGGCTGGTCGACATAAACCCTCTTGAGAGGTGAATACCCTTTTGCCAGCAAGTGATTCACCGATACATAAACGAAAACCCCACAAGCCAATCCCATCGAAACTGCGAATATCCAATCGGCCACCGACCCTTGCGTAGTAGCATCTATTATTATACCAATGGCCACTCCTATTGGACTAGAGATTGCGAAGGCAAAGGAGTATGCCACTGACGATAAGAATGGACGGTTCGGCATCATACGCAGAAGGGCAATTCCCATAGCAATGGCGGCGAATATCTTGTGGAGAGTTATCGTCCATAAAGCTCTCCATGCGTCTGATTTCGAGTCCGAGACTCCAATTGCAATGCCTTCGAAGACTGAGTGGAAGCATAGTGCTATTATCAGTAGAACGCTGTCTCCGACAGAAGATGCCGTGTGGGAAGATGACTGTAAATGAACAGCTTCAGTATTCAATGTTATAATTTCATTTACATGTAGAATGATGTAATGTAAAACAAAAACTCAGGGTAGTGGAAATTGTGAACTGGATCAAGTCAACTGAATAAGATCAAATTACGAAAGAATAAAACAGCGGATGTTTATATAACACAAGTCGACTGGTTCTTGTATAGTGTTTGATTCTTACCGTTAAGTGTGAGTGTGAAGTGTTGTTCTGATTCATTTTCTGCTGCTGTGTTCCTCCTGAATCGAGATAACAAAAAACAAGAAGATTAATATTTTAATATCAGAAGATTAAAAAATAGGTTGTCACGTGCCTAATCAAACAAGAACACACATATAAGGATGATTTTTGTCTGCTTTAATAAATCTAAGCTAAGACTGTTCAAAAAACAAGGTTATTTTTCAATACCTTGAAGCTCCAGATCAGCAGATTCTCGAGGAGGTTGAGACTTGGAGCAAACGAGAGAGACGACACAATCAGACAACATGGTCAAGAGATAACCAAAAGAAGCCAGCATGAAGGCGAAAGGGTAATCCCTCGACGGCAACAAATCCTCGAAAGTCTCGTCGGCGTCCGGCAAGAAGTGCATCAGAGCCGTCGCCAGAAACACTCCTCCGGCGAACTGCGTCCCCACAACCAGAAACCCTTCGCTCCATTTCAAGAAATACGGCGAAACACCGCTCGCCAACGTCACGACAAAGATCACGACCAGACACCCGATCTTGTTCAAGATCAAGGATCTTGATCCGAGATCCGACCCCTTTGTGGGTTCGTCTCCGTCGTGATCGTGGTCACCGGTTCCATGGGAAGAACCGGGAACGACGAGGAAGAAGAAGACGAAAATGAAGAGGAAGAAGAAGAAGTGAGGACGAGACATGAAGAATATTGAATAGTGTGGTTTGAGTTTCTTTGTTTCTTGTGATCCAAATTTGGAGATGAATATTGAATCGATTGTGTAGAAATAATAGTGTTGGTTGGAGTTGTACTATAATGTCGTGAATCTTTTTTGTACTTTTAATTTGTTATTGCTACTACACCTATTCTTAAAAAAAAAAGGTGGTCCAAAGGATTACACGTGAAGTGAGATGTTTGGTTGTTAGTTTATGGGTGGACGTCTTCAAGTCTAAGAATATCTATATAATGATTCTAAATTTAACTCAGAAAAAAATAAATATATTATATTAAAGAGGTCAGTTTTATGATTTGAGATGTGTGACAAAATAGGGTTCAAGTGACATGGGTCTGTTGTTAGTAATTTTCAATTATAATTTACCGATGAATAGTTAAACACTGCTATTCCTTGTTTTCTCATTTTCTTGATCTTTTTTTGTGTGTTTCTATCAAACATTTCGATACACTTTTTGAGCTCTTAAAATTTATTGATCGTTATATATTTTTAATACCCTAATTAATGCCAATTTTTTTTTTTATTTGAGAAATTATGGTAGATATTTAAAAAGAAAAATCCTAACCCGCGTTCAGTGAACCTTAAAATTCAAATGGGCCCTTGACTATACGGAGACGAATATGTGGTGCATCTGAAAATAACTAAAAAGAAAGAAATGTGAGAGAAATGGGCCTTAAAAAAGGCGTTGAAGTTTCGCATAGGCTGATGGACGGACCTACTCCTGGACTTGTGCTTCGATTTGTCTGCGAAAAGTGACCGAATCAACGACCTTTCTACAGCCAAATTTGCGTAACAAAGACGTTATACTCTCTCCAATTTTGTTCGGAAATAATTTGAAGAAAGAAAACGGATTTTTATTTTTGAAAAAAAAAATTACAAAATTCTGAAAATCCCGATGGGGTCTTCTTTATCTTTGAGCAGACCAAGTCCACTGTCCACGAGACCCTAAATAAGTGAAAATCCCATTTCTATACAGAAACTTTCGCTTCAACGCCTCCAGAATCGGCCATGCCCACGCTGTTCTCCCATTCGCCTGCATCATATATTATACACATAGTTGTAAGTAACAAACCCATATTAAATGCATATTTTTTTTAACACATAGAATATACCTTTGATACTCTCTTGAACGCTCGAGGAATTCCTTGGCTACATCTTGTCTCTCGTAAGAGGCTAGAACCGTTCTGATGTCAGCTGGGCTGTTACGAGCCACGTCTGCATTCCCCCACCAAACATCATCAGTAACACAGATCCACTTCACCCCATAAAAAAAAAAAGTTTTAAAAAAACATGTTCTCACACTCTCTCTGTCTCTACATATCTATATATATCTCTACAGTAATAGATTCCTTGCCCCGGCTAAGAAACACCTGCAAAATGATCCTTTTATGCCACCTCCTGTTTGTTCAAGAGAAAAAGATGGGGACTTTTGGCAGATATTGAATTCAACTGTCAGCAGCCTAGGCCTCGCAGGATAGCAACGATTTCCTAAACACGTATTGATGGTGAATTCTCACACCGAATAGCCGCAGACACTTACATTCAAGGAATGGAATGAGGTCTAGAAGGGCAGTGTCGTCTTCTTCAAGCTTGTAAGGCTTGATTGGCACACAATTCTCCGGCTGAAGGCTCGTCTCAAATGCAAGCCCGCTAACATACATGATTTTCTTGGGATCTCTGTTCAGCTTCGACAGATCCTGCAATATGATATCTTACCCATTGTTGAGTACCAAAAAGTTTTAGATTGTAAGTGAGCAAATATATAATCTGAAGGAAACCTTTTGCTGCCCACCCTATAATGTTTTCCGTTCTCATACTTAGTGGCACCCCTTGCCAGCCGATACCGTATGTAATGATTCGGGTCCAACCTATCACAAACTGGAGCTACATACTACATGACAGAAATAGGAAATGGGTTAAGACACCGGTTTTCATGAATTATACGGAGAAAAAAAAATTAAAGAAAAACAGAGAACTTACCATATCCATCTGGTCAGAGTACACCACAATCTCATAGAACTTGGCAAGATGCTCCAAGAATGCGTCAACACCAGGTCTTTTGAAAGTCCTCCACCCTCTGTCACGCTTTACATAGCCAAAGGAAGAGAAAAAAAAACCATAAACAATCTTTCTCCAGAGATAAAACAATTCAACAGCAGCACTCTGACTTAGTTGTTCATCAGAGATTAACTCAATAGCTTAAACTACATGTTATAAATCCTAGGAGATCACCACATGTCAAAATCAATTTGATCATTACATTCCAGTCTGTGTAAAGGAGCGTCTCGTTCAAATCAAGAACTAGAGTGAAGACATGTTGTTCAGCGGGATGCAGATCTGGAAGAAGCTTCTCCGAGAGAGGTTCAGTAAACTCCTACAGTAAGAGCCAGACAAGATAAAAATTCTGGAAGGTATTGAAAGATTATTAGAATTTAGAAAGAATAAAATCAGACAATGCTACATAAACAGCAAAGAACTTACCCGAACTTGTTCTTCCACAAGTGCCCTGAACTCCAAATACATTTCGATTGCTTTAGCAGGAACTGAACAAGATACAAGTAAAAAAAAAAGACATGCTAAGTTTAACAACACCAGCTGCCTGCAATAAGGACTATTAGATATAGAGAAAGAGGCGAGAATTATACCTGTCATTGCACCAGAATACAGAAAAGTTTGATATTTCTGAACAAAAAAGAGGGCATGAAGAATGTTTTAATTCAAAAAACCAGAAAAATGATCATTTGTCCCAAAAAAATGATTTTTAGGTTTTGAGAGAGAATATAAAGAACAAGGCATAAGTAACAAGCAGGACAGAATAGAGTAATATATAATGCAGATGGAAACATAAAGTCACTGATGAAAGAGTTACATTTTTGCCTATTGGCTGAAGATATGAAACTACAACAATCAATTAAATAGCAATGAACTAAAATGGTTGTCCCGGTAACACAATCAAACTTGTTGGCAAGATTTGTCTCAAAAGGACATTCCATTCACATAATATGTGGAAGAAGGCAAAAACCACATCTCAGGAACGTGCATCAAAAGTAAACTCACATCAATTGCCGAGGAGGTATCATCAGCTGGTGTCCTCTTAACTGATTCACGGAAAGCCTTAGTCTTTGCATCCACTTCCTCCAAAGCGTAAGCTGCAACCACAAATGCACACAATATTCGTATAAGCAGAACTAAAATGATCAACCCTCGCCTATAATTCACCGATAAGCTAGACAAAAATGTTTCACGTTTCTCAAATAATGTAACAAAGAATGATATAAAACAAATTTTGTACGAATCCAAACGCACGTAATTGAAGACAAAACTCGGAAAAGTGATGCCAATGACATTATCATATCGCATTCACATTTCTTAACATTCACAGGAAAACAGCATTCGTAGCCGAACGATAAAGCGAACAATCACAATGCGAGGACAAGGGAAAACGATAGCCAACCATATGTGGCGTAACCAGCAGCAGCAGTAGCACCAGTGAGAGCGCTGACGAGTCCGTACGTCAGATACTTGAGTGCTTTCCGGTCCTTCCCCGGAGCCGCCGCCGCCGCTTCCGCTTGAGGCGGAGGGGGCGTTTGATTAGGCGGTGGAAGATCGGAGATGATCGACTGACCGGCGGAGAGTCCCGGCTCCTTCGCCGACGGATTCGTAGAAGCTGCTTCGGAAGAGAAGACCCTCAGATCCTGAGAACTAACTTTTGGTAATCTAGAGATAACGCGAGATCGAAGAACGATCGACGCCATTTTCACCTCTGGTGTTATGCCAGTTCCTAAGATTCGCAGGGTTGAAGTAGGGTTTAGAGCGCAGGGAGAGAACGAGAAATGAAATAAGGTTCTGTTTGGACACAGGAATAGGGGCTTCCTTAAGAAAATTAGGAGCCATGTTTCCTGTTTGGAAGTCGGTTTAATTAGGTTCTAGGTTATAATGGGCTTTTATTCTGATCCTTTACTAATGGGTATTTATTGGGCTTCATATTCAGCACAAGGCTTTTACTAGCAAATGTGAAATGTGTATGTATGTATATGTAAAGGGTAATCTATAATCTATTATCCATTTTAGTGTTTTAAAACTGAATAGGGAAATAAAGAAGTACTCATGAATCTATAATAAATTTGTTACTCTCATAAGTTTGGTTCCAAATCAATTAATATAGAGCCTAAATAAAATGAAAAACGGGTGTAGTCATGAACGATGGACGACAACAAGACAAAAACATGTATTAAATTTTTATATTTTCTAGTAATAAAATTCTACAAGAAGGATTATGCATATGTTTTTTTTTGTACGGAGTACGGAAAGGGAGGGATACAAGTATCTAAAGTTTTCTACCTTGATACACCCTAAATCAATATTTAATTTGATGTCCGATCCGTATGCAATTTTTAAATGTTTGGTTATGCAAAATTAATTTTCATGTTACCCAAATCCTAAGTATCTACGTGCTTATACATGCATTTTTGTTTTTGATATTATATATCGAATATAATATATATATGGCTCATAACACTATCGTTGTTAAGGCTGTTTTGGATTTCCTCCTGCATGATCGAGTTATACATACATTATATATATATATATATGTTGTAAAACTAAATAATATTGGTAATAGATGAGAGGACACGTACGTGCAATGGGTCATCGTCCACATAATTTTCAAGCAAAGATGGCGCATGGTCATAATTGGAAAATCATCCATACTCGTACATATACAGCCAAACATCTGCCATGCATTTAAGATAAGGGCATTTTGGGAACAACAGTCCGTACTCATTTGGAATGGTCCCACAAATATCAAACCAAAAAAAAAAACAACTCTTATAAATGGGAGGGCGATTTATTGGAAAGCTTCGCATTTACACTTACACCTCTTCTTCTCCTTCTTCTTCTTCTTCTTAGCCACAGAACAAACAGAGAGATTAGATCCATAAGTGTATCAGATGGATCAAATGGTGTCAAAATCGCAGTTTCTGAAGAATTTGACGAAGTTCGTCATCGTTTCGATTTGGGTTTTCTCTATTTTCTTCTATCTTAACTTCTACTTCTCCAGGTTCATGATCAAACTTGTCACACACACAGTCGACAAGAACCACATGTTCTTGTTTTGTAACGGACTCCTAGTCTTCGTGGTCAAGTACTCTGGTCAGGTCAGTTCCGTATCCAAAGAAGAAAGCTCCGATCACGGAGCATTTGAGAGCCACGACAATGTCGTGGCAGAGTTCGAACAGGTCCGAAGGCGACAAACAGATGAGTTTCTTGCGGAACAAGCTACAGAGATCGGAGAACAAAGTGAAACTGTATCCATTAATGTCGGGACTGTAGAAGAGCCTGCAAAAGATATCTACGTGGTGGTTCAAGAAGATCAAAATATAGGAAACGAAGACGAAGAAGAAGAAGAAGAAGAAGAAGGAGTAACACGTGATAATGATTTTGAAGAAGAAGGGGGAGTGGGAAAGATGACGGCAGAGGAGCTGAACAAGAAGTTCGATGAGTTCATAAGAAAGATGAAGGGAGAGCTTAAGATGGAACCTCGAAGACACTTAATCGTTGTTTAATTATATGAATTGATTTTTCCCTTTATGATTAATCGCTGTTTTCTCTGGTTTCTATTTAACTATGTGTACATACATATAAGCTAGCTAAGCTTCCATTAATGGAGTTTCAATGAACATATATATGAAAGCATATATATATATATGTGCATCCATAGGTGCAGACATGGGAGAATCTCTATCACTTTGCTTTTGTGATATCTCTATAGATTCTCCCATCACTTTTAGACTTTCAAGGTGTTTCAATTTTTAACTTCCATTTACCATCATCATACCCTACTTTCATATACATAGGTTGCTCACAAAAAATCACCAAGCAGACGACCAATAGGTAAAATGAAAATTTCAAAAACAAAACAATTTGAATCTTCTATATGTTGTGATGTAATAATTCATGTTCTGATTTGACATACGTTATTTTTTATCGATTAAATTGGAGGAGACCATTTATACAAACAATAAAGAATATCAAAATAAAATACATATGGAACTTTAGTATTCTACGTACGTAAAGATGCACATCACGAGTAAGTGGTATAAATGAATCTCTATATATTTAATTCATTTATGCATGTCTAACTATATTATTAATTAGTGCTATATATATATATATATATATATACATGCATGTGTATGTGTATATATTATGAGGGTGAACAAGATGTAACAATGTTTTTAAGATAATTTGGAAATTTATCGAGTATTCGGTCTAAATATATTTTTCAAAAAAATAGAAAAGTTCATATGAATGTCCTCTCTCAGTAAAAAGTAAAAACACGAATCTGGGTTTGAAATATAATAATGTATATTGTCGAAACCATGAAGATTTGATTGAAATATTATTATTACAGCGCACAATACTTGGGTCTAACTTAATGATATGATGGAGATGGAAAATAAAATGATGTAACAAAACAGATGAATCTAAAGCCCCATTTGATGTGGTATTAATGCATAGTTTTCATGAGGGATTACATCAGTTGAATATTCAAGGTATTAATATGATACTTGATACATCCTATATATATTTGGATTGTAACCACACATAAAATATTTATAAAAAGGGTCCCTTTAAAGTCAGGTGAGATCAATCACAAAGCCGAACGCATGTGCTTGTCCCATTTTATATAGTTTCATTCATGTATGACACATGAAATTAATAAAAAAAAACAAAATAAATAAATAGATAAAAATATTTAAATATATATGGCGAGAGAGGTCCAGAAAGACCCATAACTGTGTGGACTGTGGGGAATATAGAAATGTAGATTGATGAGACAAAAGATACGCCCACAAATATGGCTGAAAATATGCCTATATATCTTCGTGTTGAAGGAAGTAAAGTCACTGACCTCAGTCCTAATAATTAAGATCCCATTAAAATCCATATACATAGTTACATACACATATATATTATAGAATATCATGATTAATTTGGTTAATTGATCTAATGATGTAACATGTATAATGTAGATGCAAGGGATGGGGTATACAACCATGCAGTTTTGAAAAAGGAACAGTAAAAATCAAAATCAGACAAGAAACAAAACAAAAGGAATGAAGTTTTAATATCTAGCAATCATACATCCTGATGAGATTTGTTAAGATAGAGCAGTATTTTTTTTTTTTTTGTAAAAAATTGACCATCGTGATTTTTTAAAAGAGGACAGCGACAAAAGGAAAATGAATGCGAGGGTCTTTGTCAAATGAGAAGGTGACAATGTACGGAGGACTTTGGAGAATGCCCCGACGATTTGTTTGTATTTGTGCGTGTATCTTGAACTTTCATTATACTTTTTGCATTATTAGATGAATGGGCATATATTACATTCCACGTGAGGCCTTTCGAAAGCGACCCATGATATTTGAGATGACCTAATCATGAAATGTTAGCTTTCTATATGGTATTTGTTGGTTGGGAGAGTATTTATATCAATCGATCGGTCCGATGGTTACAAGTCAATTGTGAGATATTTTCATTTTCTGGAATGAGAAATGACACGTTGACGCTGGTCTGCTCAAAGGGTCGCGAAATATTTATTTGGAACTTGAATGAATAGAGTTAATTATATATAATTATAAGTGTTGTTCTGATATAAAATTCTCATAATTTGAGGTTATACCAAGAAGTCATATTGTCTGACCGACAATACATCCTTCTCAATTATTTGTTATTATTAATCTTATTTTGTCAATCAATTAAGAAAAAGAAAAATGATTGTTTGATAAATACCCATGTATGATATTTATTATTTAGCGACGAAATAGAAAAGAATTATCGAAACTTGTCGGAGTTGCCATTCCATTAAACTTGACGGGTTAGAAAGAGGATCCACGATCAATTCTATTTAAACCTGACCCAAACAAAGACAGTGACCGTAATTGGTACACAGTGCTTCCCTGGAGCCGCACCTCCACTTGCAATCGGCATCTTTTGTGCAACGAAGTGATGGCTTCGGCCACAGATTCATCGTCGGTGCCAGGTTTCCGATGGGTACTTCATAATCTCCTTCCTCCGAAGCCGGTGCCGGCGCCGGCACCGCCACGTCGTCTGGAACTTCATCCGCCGCCATGGAGACCGACAGCACTGCCAGCACCCACGTTGCTGCGATGAACGTTCCGTACACAATACCCAACTTAGCCATTGTTTTTTTTCGTCCTATCTCTTTTGACAAGTTCGATTTCAAAATTTTGGGATGTTCCATATGTTATGAATTAGGGTATTTAACACTTGTGTGTTCTTTTGCACATTAGAGTTTATGACAACATAATAAATGTTAAATCCTTGTAATGGTCAACTCAACTATTTTTAATGACGGCGCAATCTAATTTAGCGTTCGCCGTTGACCCGACAGCGATGGAAACCAACCGAGTCTATTAAATAGGGGTGGGTGATGGTTTCGGTTCAAGAATTTGGTTTGGCAAACCGGTCCAAGCTGAAACTAGATCGAACCGAATACTTTTGTACAGTTAACCAGATAAATCGTTTCCGAACGAACTTAATAAATATCGAAACGAATCTGCTAAATATCGAACAAAACCCATAATTATCCACCTTTATGAACAATGTACAAATGTATATGTGAAGTTTCGGTTTTTGTTAGTTTTTTGGTACTCACATAACGAACCCGTTTGGAACCAAACCGATTAATATTAGGTTCTGGTTTGGTACAATTTTTATAGAACGAGATAAACTGTTTGCGAATCGAACCCGATGAATAGCGTACCCAAACCCCAAAAAACCACCCACCCCTACTTATTAAACTCATCATCAATTTGCAAGATATTAGATACCAAATATCTCAAATCTTCCTCGTGACAATACTGTGGAAGAAGCTGAACCAGAAGATGCATCTAAGAACAACCTCAAAGCACGAAACGAAAGATACTAGTTTTGATAAAAAGAGGGTACTAAGTAAGCTTTTTAACCAAACAGTGAGATCCTTTATTCGGAAGCCATACCTAGCTTGATACGCAAGTAATCATTGGACTTGGCGAGCTCGAGGAGCTCCTTGGCTTCTTCTCCCTTTGACCCTTTCACCAATTCATCCACCACTTGCTGCAATATCACCTTGTCGATGAGATGCCGCTTGTTGAATATCTCCTTGCAGAGCTCAAAGGCATACCCCAAATCGCCGCTCTTGCACAGAACAGGAAGCATTATCGCAAATGTCGATTTGTTCGGGCGACAATCGTTCTTCTCCATTTCGCTGTACCAAGTTTTGGCTTCATCTAGTTTCCCTTCATTGATAAACCCCCTAATCATAGAATTGAAGCTGAAATCATCAGGTTTGATCCCTTTATTCTTCATTTCTTCGAACAAAACAACCAAATCTTTCGATTTTCTCTGCATGGATAACCCGAGCAGCCGCGCGTTGTAACTCCTGCCATCTAAACTCACATTTTTCTTCTCCATCATTTTTGACCAAATCTCCTCACCACGCTCGAACTGACCATTCTTGTATAACTCGCATAAAAGCGTGTTAAACGTGAACAAATCCGGCTCCAAACCCTTACTCTCAATCTCATCGAGCACCGAAACAGCATCATCTAAGGAGCCCTTCTCACACAATGCCTTGATGAGTGTATTGTAAGATACCACATCAGGTTCAATCGATAACTTACCCGGCAAGTCCCTGAAGAGCCCGTCAAACAAATCCAACTTCTTCGAGTTCAGGCACGCTCCGAGGAGAGCGTTAAAGGACAGAACCGTTCTGTTGCAGTCATGTTCCGGCATTTCGTCGAACACCTTCTGAGCATTCTCGAACATCCCGGCTTTCCCGTACAGAGAAATGATCCTGGCGGTGAATCCCTCCTTGGACATGTCGTGGCGGTACTTCTTCTGCTCGTCCAGGATCTCTTCGATCCACCGAAACTTCTTGGCGGCGGCGAGACGGCGGACGGTTGAGTCATAGACGGCGGTGCTGGTACGGAATCGGTCCGACTCGCACGCCTTCTTGAACTTCTCCACGAGGCGTTTTGGGTTTCGCTCTCCATTTATGGCTCCCCCCCCTAGGGGTTTAGCGGCCGAGGCGGTGGCGGTGGAGAAGTGGCGCCTGTTGGTGGCGGTGGAGAGGATGCCACGGAGAACGCGAGAGAAATACGACATCGTTTCGGTGTGTTTTTTTTTTCTTTTTCTAAGGGTTTTCTTTGGGTTAGAAAACGGAAGCGGAGGAGATATCCTATATTAAAAGTTTTCAACTTTATAAATCTATTTTGGAAATAAAAAGACAGTTTCGAGTTTTTTTTTTCTTTGGGCCGAACGGGATCTGATTTTTATTTACAAATTACCCGAAGGCTAGCTAAATTAGAAGAAATTGATAGGCAACTACAATCCAATGGTAATTTTCTATCCCATTAAAGTTCGAGAAGTAATTCTGGTCATTCGAATCGATCAAAGAAACTGACCTGGAACTCGAATCTTGGAAGGTATATAAACCTCGGATAGATAGGACAGGGAGTGTACGGACAGTGCTTCGATCTCAAATTTCACGCCTCTCTGCAGCATCACTTCAAGTTCCAACCTTCATATATGGGTATTCACATTGAAAATAAAAAAAAAACCTTCATATATGGAGTTGTTGCGTGAACAAGTCTTAAAATGAAGATTTAAAAATAAAACGCACAACTACGACGTACCTCCATTGGGGCATTTCACGCTTGAGGTAGCATCTCAGCAACAAGGCCTCGGTCCTTTTCTTATCTGTGTATAATAAATTGGTTGGACCCAAAAACAAAGAACGATACAAGAATAAGAATGACACTTGGAGACGACACGTGTCTTGATCTCACCTTCTTCTGTCAAAGGCAAGAGACATTGCTTCGGAATATTGTGTTTCTCCGAGTCCGAGGGAAATGCTCCCAACCACTGTATCCCTGGGGCTCTTAGACACTCTATATCATATGCCATTTGCTTCAATAAATACCAAAAAGGATTTTTAAAAAAAAAAAGAGGAAGCGGTTGGAAACGAGTGAAGTGGAGGCAGTGAAATTTCCGAGTCTAAAACGTGTCACAAAATCTAACCTTGGAACCAAACCGGTATGTAGCAAGGATCTCAAAGCCATATGGATCACAGTCCACTAGACAATATACAGGTAGGTGTAATTTCTCCATTAGGAGTCGCAAGAACCTGGAAGTGATCTTGTCAATGTTATTTGCTGCTGTCTTCGGACAGGAGAATGTGCGTGACTCAAAAGGGTTTCTGATATTATTCTGGAGTCGGATATAAACAATTTTGTACCTTCTTGTCGAAACATCCGGATAGCCTCTTCCCTTCGAAGGAGAATGGATACATGGAACAAAAAATAGAGAAGGAAAGAATCAAATGGCCAAAATTGGCATCTGATCTCTGAAAGAAAGAACGAAGTTATATTGCTAACCGTGATGACAATGCAGCGATTTGTCTTGCAGAACGTATCATTTGCTAAGCGCTGGAACACTGCACAACTTTAATAGGATCAAATGATTTGTAGAAGCTCTCCTCCTGTTAACCAGATAGATAGAAGTTGGACCTGTTTCCTTTTCCACCACTAGTATGTACTCCGCAATGCTGACAATATCTGTAGCAGGAATTCAACAAGACCTATCTCAGCATCTCTCTCCTATTACAATAATTATCAGGTCTAGCTATACAAGTAGATTACTTTCTGCAGAGAACATGCAGCCCTCCAATCCAGTTCAAGAACTTCAACATTTGTCTCAGTTAGTCAATGTCAATAGACAAAACTCATCATTATCAGAATAAATACCTTTGACTTCCTCCACGAGAACTGGAATGGGGAAAGCCTGAAAATTAAGCCATCTCCAGTGTTATACTTGCTGATGATAAGATAACATTGTGAATCTTGCATTTCGGTCTTACAGTGTTAGGATTGTTTATGCAATCAAACTTCCGTTCAGCTTCTTTAAACCTTAACCATCCCATCACCATCCTACAACAGAAAAGAGCGTTGCAATAGATCCAAAATAAGGACATATCCCAAGAAAGAAACATCATGAATGTTATCGAGTCTGCCCACCCATTTCCAACAGATACCTGCAAAAAATGAAATTCTATGCCAAGTTTACATATGTTGAAAGCTCTTGACAACACACTGGCTGGGAGGACTCAACATCATTGAAAACTCAAAACTCAAAACTCATGGAGGGGGTGCCCTTTCAAATAGTTACTATTCCTGACAATAAAACCTTAAACAGATACTACATATGATAAAGTTGACAAGGATCATACGTCTTCGATAGGCAGAGTCAAGGTAAAGCAGACAAAACTATTAGTTCAAGTGCTAACCACATTCAAGTTGTGCCGACTACACTGGAAAAGGATGCATATATCATTGATTGCCCGGTCTACAACTGACTGGGCTGCACGACAGAGAAAACGAATGTTACTGGGAGGCAAAGGACTAATGCCAACTCTTAGTGTAAACATACCATAGAACAAATTTATTATTTCTGAGATTGTAGGCATAAATTATTAGGAAGTTTTTCGTTTCAAACAAAAAGAACAAACTATCCTATCTGCTTTACCAGTGAATACAGATGGATGCATGTAATAGATATCCCGTTTTGACCCATGTCTGTTTTCTTGCAAAAGTTGTCGGATGATCAATAATACCCTTAGCAAAATATCTGAAGATAAATATCTGTAAGGATATTGCTTAACGCGATCCCAAATACGGAAAGCAATAAAAACTGTCCAAATTGTCACTCAAAGAGAAATGGTTCACCAATTCTGTAGGTGTGGGTTTCCCTCGTAATTGTTAGAATTTCCTGTCCCTTAGGTTCGTCGGAGCTGCAAAAGCTGTAAACAGGGGGATGTAAAAAAAGGATAAATGAACATAATTGGTCTAAGAATCATAACTGGAAGCAAGTCTAAAGAAAATTAAGACAACAAATCACAAGGTTCTTTTTTTTGTTGGCTACTCTTTTTTCTCTGCATGACATTGCAAGAAATCGATGTTCATCAGTTCAGATCCTTGATAACTTTTCATAACGAAAAACAAGCATGCATGCTCATTTCGACCTAAGAAGTTGCCTGAAAAGACATCAAATCACCATAAGTCACTGGACTTTTCAGGATCTTCTCTCTCCCAAGGCAAACAGCCGGATCCACTCATCACAATCAACATTCCACACCACATAGAAACCGAACACAGTGAAAGAAACCAAAAACTAAAACCAGACCACTGCTTTGACCAGTATGATGGCAACCCTCTTTGGAATAACAACTCTATTGATACATCAGGCACCAGTCCAGAGGAAGTAAGACAACAAAAGGAAATCCAAACACAATGATTTCATCATCCAGATCTCAGAAATGTAATCACACTTCTTCTCAACATCATATAGTTATCCGTGTTGACCTTCTTTTGTTGATAAAAAAATCAATGAAATCATCCGTGAAAAACATAAGGAAACCACATTAAATAGGTGAAAACGAACAGCATAGATCAAAGGGAAACGAACCAATTCGCTTCTGGATTCATACAGTAGTTCCTGAATCGATTGATGGAGATAGTTGGAGACCGTCCCCTGGCGAGATCTTCAATAATTGATCGAGTAAAATCTGCCCCCAAAACATAACATATGGCGATGAACAGCGACGAACAAGCAAAATCATCTTTCAGAAATCGATTCAGAGGGAAACTCTCATATGATCGGAAAAAGATTTGAATTAATGGTTGGAAATATCATTTACCTTTGATCCTCTGAAGCAATTTTGCAGCATCCCAGTTTGAAACTTTTCCCGCCATCTCTCCTGGTTCCTTGGGTGTGTAATTCTCAACCCGAGAATGAAATCGGTGACAAATTGATAAGCATTGAACTATGAAAATGCCTGACGTTTTCACATAAAGAGATGAATCTGTGCGTCGTTTCTATTCAAAGCTCCAGATAAAAAACGTCAGGACGTTCATAATGACAAGTCGCCGACAGACGTGCTGTTTTTATTGTTCCGAACGAAACTCCGCAGCGTTTTGTGTACACGTTGCCGCATTTATTGTATCCGTTGATGCCTTGGAGTAATTTAATTTTGAACTTAAAGGGTAATGATGAGATTACTTGAATAGTTTAATTTGTTGATGCCTATATAAATGTATTTAGAACATATAAGCTCGGACACATGAGAAGAGGTACAGAAATATACGAATTTTATGCTTTCTAAAATTATTATTATTTTATCTCATCTTGTTTCTTTAATAGTCCACGCACTTGAAGAATCTAGATGACAAAAATCTTCATTTTAAAGGCATATTCTTTTATTTTGATTCTGGTCAACAAATTATATGTTTTGCTTGGTTATATTGTTTACAAGTTTTAGATTAATTAGTTCGTATATATTCAAGTCCATAAAAACATTTTTTTTTTCAATCTTAGATTGACGCTCGGTTTAGATTTTACCGTATAGTATTTATTAAATTCACCTATGCAATAAAAAAATTCCAAAGATAAGTGAGATTTGTTTGCCTCACATAGGCCCATAAATTCATTATTTTGCCAATTCAACGTTTTCATTTCTAAAAGCTGTCGGTGTTTGGACTTTCTAATACTCCGAATTTTGAATTTATTAATGTAACGGCACGAAATTTAAGGTTTTCGGCAATATAAAACTCTGCAGTCGAATATATTCGAATTCCGATAACGTTATAACGTATATAATAAAAATTGTAATTAAAAAAAAAAACACTAAGCCTCGGCGCCTACAAGAATAAAAAATAAATAAAATCACGTAAATCAAGATTTATTCTCCGTAAATATTACATTTTTTAAAATTTCTCTAACATTCCCAAAAAAAAAAAAAGAGGAGAAACAAACAAACAGATCACGTGCAATTCAAACTAGTCGAGATTAGCGAAGCTGGTGTGGAGGAGTGGCTCTTCGAGTTCACCGGAGACGACGTAGTCGAGGATGCCCTCTGCCGCGGCCTTGAAGGCGAAGCTACCTTCTCCGGCGGCGGAGGAGGTCGCCGGAAAGTTACCGGAGGTGCGAGCGAAGAAGAGAACGGCGGCGAGGAAGAGAGCAGTGGAGAGAAGGAGAGGCCAGAAGTAGGACAAGACGGTGAGGAAACCGGGAGAGTAGGTGACGAGAGAGAAAGTGAGGAGAGAGAAAACGAAGGCGAAGACGATGTGGAACCTGAACTTGAGGAGCTTCTCCCGAATCTCCATCTCCGGTAGCCGGTGAAGTATGAACGTGATGAAGAAGAGGACGGTCTGCTTTTGAAATCTCTCTCAGAGAGAGGGAGAGAGAGAGAGAGGTGGTGATGATGATGATGAAGATGGTACTGTCTCTCCTTTGGACGTAATAAAGAAATGAGAAAGATTCTCTTCAGAGAAGGAAAACGTCAAAATTTGAAGTTTGATGTTCTTTTTCCCGTCCTATTCTATATTTATTATTATTATTATTATTATTGGTATGGTGTCTCATATATATTCATGATTCAATGTCAAAAATTGTAAATATGAGTTTTATTAGAGATTAATTTTAATTGTCGGAGACAAAATTCTTATATATTTTTTTCCTGAATATTTGAGATGTATAGTAAATGTTTTAAATATAATCACATGAATTGGAAAAAGAGGACGGAAAACAATCGTCGGCGAAATAATTGTACGAATAAATGATGAAAGCATGTTTCCTATGGGTTTGTCTTTTATTGCATGATATAAATCTGTTCACCCAAAATGCGGACGATATACAGACTTGGAGGCCCATATTTACTGGACCGACCATGTAAATGACAATTTTATTATGGGCGCAAGTAAATAAAATAATGTTAGTTTATATTGCATACATACATACATACATACATACATACATACATACATACATACATACATACATACATACATACATACATAGAATGTAGTGATCTTTGCTAGTAATGGTAGACTGCATTGTTCTTTTCCAGGTTCATATCGAATCTCTAATACAAACTTACAAATCAATGATGCATCCAAGCAGTGCTTTTTATGTAAACATGTACGTACACTCAGTGGCGGGTCCAAAAACAATTGAAATTAGGGGCAAATTTAATTTTATCGTGTGATGAATTACATGTTACTAGGTTCATTTAACAATTTAGTTTAAAATTTTACATATTTTATAAAAAATTTAAAATTTTTAATTAAGTGAGTGGGGAGATTAATGTAGGTCCGCCCATCCGCTTGCACCTTTTTAAGTTTTCCGAAAAGTAATTAGGTAAAAAAAAAAATGGCCGTGATTGGTGTATGGACCGTACCGGGCCCATTTAAAACAATAAAATCCCATCATTAGGCCCAACATTAAAAAGAGTACAGTAATTTGTGTATTGTCGGTCCATCCATACAAATCCGAAAAGATATATTTGTATAACATAAGGTATTTTAAGGTATAATGATTAAGGCATCTTTGAACAATAGTATATAAAGAAAACTATCCGTTCTCTTCTCGAGGAACGTGATTTCGGAAATTAGAGTGCGATAGTGTTACTGTACAAGCACGGCAATGAATGCCTTTTGCACATCAGCGACACAAAAAGTCCCCTCTTCCTCTCAATAATTGCATTTGCACTCCTCTCTCCATTTTCATTTTTCTTTGTCTGTTGTCTGTTGTTTTCCCTTTCTGCTGTATCTCCGGCGCCGGAAAACTCGATATTCTCCGGGAAGAGAGAGAGAGAGAGAGAGAGAGAGAGATTGTGACGTTCGAATGTGTTCGGCTCTTTCTCAGGACGCAACTACAGTTCGTCATATGTAGAGTTTCTGGTTTTGTAGGTAATTCTTTTTTTTTTTTTTGTTATTGGGGAAAGAGAGAACTTTTCCCCGGACATCCTCAGAGATTCGTGATGGACTGGACATTTGCTTTCTGGGTTTTGTCGTTTTGATTGATTGAATGAATGAAGAATGATTTTAGCTATTTGGGGGTTTCTGCACTTCGCGTTTGATTATAGGAAAAATGTTGAGTTCTTCGTCTTTTTCCCAGTTTCTTTTGTTTATTTTGGCTCTGAAAACTCGTCTCTTAAGGGTTTTCTAGTATGTCCATTGCAAATCCCTCGGCTTCTGTCTCATTCCTTGTCATGTTTTGTCTTTGAAACGTTATGATGTTCAGCAGAACTGTAGTCGGTTCATCTGCTTGATGTGTGTTTCTCGTTAAAACGTGTAGTCAAATTCTCTGATCTTACTTTGTATAGCTAAACTCACGCTTTCATAAAGAATGTTTTCCCTTCCTTGACAATTTTCCTGAGAAAAGCTCATTGGTTTTGTCTCCTGAATCTTCAGGGTCTTTTGTCTCCAGAACTCCATCAGCACTGGAGCAAAGAAAAAAAAGGGTTTATTCCTTTGTCGGCTCAAGGTTCTTTTCTTTGAGAATTGAATGCCTTACTCTTACCTTAACGCGTAGAGAAGTGTTTCTTGCTTGCTTATTTGCAGCTTAACGTAGAGGCTGGCAATATGGCTGCAAACGCTAAGGGAGAGATAGACACAAGTGCACCATTTCCATCTGTCAAAGACGCGGTTATGCTCTTTGGCTCTGGCCGTACATCGTCTCCAGCCGTCGAGAGGCCCAAACCAGGTTCCAAAGAGGTGCTTCGGTTTCTCAATATGCATTTCCTGAGAGCTGAGTGTCACATTTTTTTAAGAAACAAACGTATTATGGCCTGTAAATCTTTGTGGCAAAACCGATAAAAGGGGTATGAGATTTCAGAGAGGATACAAGAAAGGTAGGAGGAATTGTGTCTGTTGTGATTCAAAGAGCCTAAGCTGTTTAAGTAAACGCGGATCATATTGATCAGAGAGTGTGTCCTCAACATGCCACCTTGTCAAACTTCTTTTGTGTTATCTTCACCAAACTTTAAGATTAAGGAACTCTGAAGATCTCCTTCACTGCACTGCATATGTGGGTAAATTACACTACATGTGGGTTTTGTGCTGTTACTGCAGATTCTGTGTCAGTATACTAAATATGTCTTTTTTTGTTACAGAGAGTATTGACAAAGGAGAGAAAGCTTCATCTTGCACAGAAAGAGTTGAACAAGTTGAAAGAAAAGATCAAGAACGTCGAGACAACAAAGGCCGAGGCGCTGTTGGAGCTCGAAAAGGCGAGAATAGCTGTTGATGATCTCTCTGACAAACTAAAAGTCGGTGGGAATCTGGGAAAACAGAAGAAACGAGCAGATTCTGCTCGGAAACAAGATCCGGAATTGGCCTCGGAGGATCAAACTACTATTTTTAGCAAATTCGATCAGAAAGAACAAGAGCTTGGGAAAATCTGTCAGAACATGAGAAATGAGGAGGGTCTTGATTTGGATTCTGTGAGAGCTGTGACTTCAAACCTGGATGTTGCCAAAGAATCGCTTCAGAAGGTAGCTGAAGAGGATCGCGGCTTATGCAAAACGTTAGAGACCCTGGAACTCGAGCTTAAAATCGTGCAGGACGTACATGCACAGCTTATAGAGAAGGAAAGAGAAACGGAAGCCATTGCCAGAGACCTTCAGGCCCAACTCCAAAAAACCAAGACTGTTCTTGAAATGTGCCTTGTTGAAGGATTCAAGGCAAGTGACGCTTTAGGAGAAGCAGAAGCAGAGGAGGAGCTGAGGAAGGAAGCTGAAGACATAAAGATTGAACTACGAGGGCTCGAAGAAGAGCTGGAAACTACTCTATTTGTGGCTGGAGCAGCAAGAGCTGCCGAGGAACGTGCCCTTGAACACGTCAACAGATTTGCCTTGTCTGAGAGGGCTGATGTTGAAGAGACCTCATTTTCAGCGCCCGTTGCCAGAATAACGATGTCTCGGGAAAAGTTTGAGTCTTTATGCCAGAAAGCTGAGGAATTCAACAACTTAGCTGAGATCAAGGTGGGTGCGGCCTTAGCTCAGGCAGCTGCTTCAACGGTTTGCAGGGATGAAGCGCTCGAGACATTAGAGATGAGTCAGAGAGAGATCAAGGATTTACAGGCTGCGAGAATGGAGGCGCTGAAGAAGGCTGTAACAGCTGAAGGAGCCAAAAGAGCAGTGGAAGCAGAGCTTAAAAGATGCATGGAAATAGAACAGAAGAAAGCAATTGAAGTAGCAACCTTGATCTTGGCGGAAAACGAGTTTCCTGTCAAATCATCACCTCGTGGGCATGTCTCAGAGGTACTGAAGAGGAACTCTGAAGAGAAACCAAAGAAGTCGAAAACACAGGTCTCTAAGAAAATCCGTTTGCCACGTGTTGGTGGAATCTTTCATCGGAGAAAGAATCAAGGTGAAGCCAGATTCGCTTCTTGTCTTCCAAGTTAGAAACTTTTCTTGTATATAATTTCTTAACCTTCTTCCTTAGTCTTTAGCAACGTGAAAATCTGTGTTTATGCAGCTCTGTATAATTCAACAAATGAATGTAGTGGAAATGAGCTCTATATATTAGAATCATTGATGAGATCCATCCCAAGGAAATGGTATGTTCTATAAACCCTGCATCGAGGTGATGCAGGCAGGTATAGTTATGTCATATATCCGAGAAGCTGAATGAGCAAAGGTGGTTGGCATCTTGATACTGCTAATAAACAGAGCTTGCAGCCAGAGAAATGCCATGTTTTTGCTGAAACAGCAGAGCAATGATGTCTCTCAGGATCTAATCATCAATAGGAAACCTTGACCGAGAATTCAGACAGCCTTGTGGTTACCACCAAGCTTCTGGAACTCAGACTCTATGGTCTCAAAGATCTTGGAATCTTCTGGAGCTGGTTCTGGGAACTTCACATGAAGTGACCCTTCTTTGATCAGTGCATTTGACTCTGAAAGCATAGCCTGTTCCTTGACAAAATTGTATAGCTCTTGATGGAAGGAATGGTCCAAAGAGAAACAATTCTCTACTGTTCCATTTGGGGTTTGCCTACCGGATCCCGACCCTTCTCTTTTACAGAAATGTGGGAGAGATTCATAGTCCATTACCTGCAAAACACCGCAAAAAAAAGGGTCAAAAGATAATTTTTTTGCAAGAGATGAAGAGATACCACAGCTCAGAAGATCATGGTTTTTCACGTTTCCATGGTTCACGACTCATGATGACATGAAAAAACCAGGAAAAAAGCGCAGAAGCATTCTTGTGCAACAAACATAAATTTTACAAAGCCTTGAGCAATTGAATGCCAACTTTTAAGAAAAGAATTGGGAAAGCAAATGGCTTACCTTTAATAACTCTTCTCTCCCACAGCCCTTAAGAACCTGAATCTTCCTCTTCGTTCTCTCTTGCAACAGAGGCTTTATTGTCTTCCAACAAGCAGAAAAGATATACGGAGCATTGACAATATAATATGTCTCCGTCTTCTCTGGAAAGTTCAAGTCATCTATCGTTGTTATAGCAGTCATTAACTGCATGAAACAGACAAGGAAATGGTGAGGAAAACAATGTAGGTCATAAAATTGAGGATGGTTTTAGTGATGTGCATCACCTTGATGTGACTCAAGGCCGAAAGCTTCAAACCAGTCATATCCAAAATCTTCAAACATGTACAGATAGGCCGCCCGAATTTCTTTGAGGCAGATGGCTAGAATGAAAGTTATACTCTTAAGATCGAGAACTTGAATGAATATAGGAGGAGGGGCATGCAGCAAAAAAAAAAAAAGTCTCTTCTTACCAATATTACACGATCCCGGTACTCATTCATTTGGATGTGGGACTGCACATAATAGTGAACCTAAATGAAGAATCAGAAAGTTATAGTCAAACATGCAACTTTACGTGAAGTCCTTTGGCAATACCCTTACAAGAAAGTTGGACAGAAGAATGAAATGACATAGATACACTTACAGAGGCTTTGTCGTATGTGCTAAGCCCCACACCAACAGCAATGACAGGGCGACCCTATAACATGGAGATGAGAAAATGAAGGTTGGATCAAACAAGGTTGTCAGACACTTCATTTACAGATTCAGTGTTTAGGTTTTCACATTCGGGTCAAGGATGAGGTAAGTGATTGAGGATGGTCTAATAAAAAAGAAAAAACAATAACAGAAGCATGGCAAGCTGGTTTGACTGAAAAGAAGATCAAACACAGAAATAGGACTACCTCTTTTGAATAGCCGGATAATCCTACAAGCTGTGTATCCCGGATTGCTCTGTACAGATCAACAGGAATGATGGGTTTCTGAAAAAAAAAATCGATTAAAACAATCATGAGAGGAGAATCGAGAGTATTTATCTTTGCACTTCTATAAAGAGAGTGGAAACTCACAGTGAGCATCTTGTCAATCTCATTTTGCTTCCTCCATTGTAAGCTATCTAGCAACTGGAAAACACTTGGGAGTGTCATTAGTTCAGACTAAAGAATGGTGCAAGAAGCAACAACATCAAAAGATAATACAGGAGAAAAGAAAGTGAATCAAAACCATTCTATGGGCCTTTTGTACGTTCCATTCCCTCGCTTTAAGAAAACGCACGAAAGTCTCGGTCTGGTACCCTTGATGGACGTTCTACAGAACACAACACCGAACAAACTTCAGTAATTCCCTTTTGTAACGATCGATGTAAGTATAGATTCAACCGTAAGTATAGATTCAATGGGAAATGGTAATGGATAAAGGCGAGATTTTGAATCCTTTACTAAGCTCCAAGATTCATTCACTTCATTACACACATATATATTGTCCATAAAAGCAAACAAGGTTCTAACTTGACTTTGCATTTGCCAGAAGATCATATGCTTAATCCTCGGAAGTCCATAGATCGAGAAGAACATTGAATTAACAGGAATCAATTACACTACTCTGTACCGCAAAATTGCAACTTATTGAGACGAGAACAGATACAGATCGGAACAAGGGGAATGGAATTTCTATGGCGGATATCTAATCTACAGCAAGAGCTTAGCTCCAGTTTTACAAACCCTATTTCCTCAGCACAGCAAACGATCCACTAAAAATTTTCTCGGCATCCAAACAGAGAAAGAGAAAACAGAACCGAATGGGGGAACTTCACTAACCAGAAACGAATCTTTCAGTGAATCGTCCACTGCCAATACCATCAAAAAGTAGGTGAGATTAGCTAAAAAAAATTGCAACTTTTCGTGACGATCTTCGAATAAACTAAGCAAATGAACTAAATGTCTTTTTTCCCGGAGGAAAAAAATCGTACCATCTTCCATTAACGTACGGAATTGCTTGACTGCTTCCTCATTAACGATGCCCATCTCTCTCTTACAGATTTTTGAGCTCATGGATTCAAAAAAAAATCTGAGATTCCGGGTAATAAGAGCTACTGCATGGAATCCGGGGAGGGTTGATCTCTGGACTTTCTCCGAACATATAGCAGTGAGGGGGAAAAATGGTCTTTTTTTTTATAGGGGCGAGAAGAAGAAGAAAGAGAGAGAAACCGAGTCGTCTTTCAGAGGCACGAAAGCCTTATATTATTGTAATAAAGAAGACAAGATAGCAATAGAGGAGCTAGCTTTGGATCCAGCCATTTTTGCCATGCGTCTTTGCTTTTCCTTTATTCAAAAAAAAAAAAACATTAAAGTAAATTAGACAAAATTGAGACTCTCTCTCTCTGACTTGTGCCCAGAAAAAAGAACGTGATATTTTATTTCCATTGTTTTTAGGAAATCTCCACTCAAACATAATACTGTTCATGAAAAGTCAGAATCAATCTCTTTTTCTTCCACTCGCCCTCTCTCGAATTCGTATTAAGTCTCTAATTAAACAAAACTATGATGGAAATTAAGCCTCTTATGTTCCTCAATATCTGGATGAATAATATTAATTCATGATTTTGGAAGATGGTAAATTTGAAATCAAAGCACGATATTGAAATCCAATCAGAAAAGGAAAGACGAAATTCGGGATTGTATGGTTGTTTAATATTCAATACAACACCTTGCAAAAAAGAAGAAGAAGAAATGAGATTCCAACCAACATATATGCATATAAAAGAATATGAATTCCCAAAAATAATAGATCTATAAATATTTGATGAGATACCCTTACCAAATTGATTATAAAACTTGTTAATTTTGAAATAGAATAAGCATAATTCTTTCATGAATAGCCCTTGAATACCCTTTGTCATGTGTTACTTCTCCTTTTTCTATCATAAATATTCAGACAAATCAGACCCCACATGTTAGCGTGTCACATCTTGTGCTTTTGATTTAAAACTAGATTTAGATCTTACGATTTAAATTTCCTTTGGAATTTATTCCCGTTTTCCATGTTTAGACCGATGAGCTTTAAATGAACTTTGAAATTTCTTCATGGACAGGAGAGCATCATAAAAACCGCGTGCGATAAAAATTTTGTTCGGAATAAAAAGGATGGCCAAGAAAATGACAAATTTTCATTAATATATGACAGAAAAAATAGATAGTTTGAATATGGTTAATGTAATTTATCAGCATCACCAAACAACATTGATGTTATAAAAACTATATAATTAAAGCATATATATAAACGCTTGACAACTAAATTTAAGCGACCCGTTAGTTGAAAAATCCTGGTTTTTGTTACTTCAAGTTCAAAGTTAATGATTCAACAGAGATCAAAGGTTAAACTTCTGGTTTTAGAACTTCAAGTGCACAAGCAAGGAATATACACGTAAGAACGTGTGTATGTGTGTGTGTATATATATATATATATATGTATGTATACATATTATATGGAACTTTGCATGTACTTCGAAATTCAGGGGAAAAAAAATCATCTGGCATATAGCAATTCAGAGAAAGACGAGCATTTCTTACATCTTTAGCAGCTTTTTCTCTAGATTACATTTCCCCTCCAACCCTTACATTTATGCTCGCATGATTCCGACACTATATTCTCCTCTTGATCCATAAGAGACGACTCAAAGAATCAATTTTGATGCTTCCCCAAGACAGCTCGGCCGAAATCGAACAGGGTTTCCATAAAAGATTAAATCTTTTCAAGAGAGTTCAGTGATTACACGTTCACATTTCTCTTCCAAGATCTTCACGGCTTCGGTGAACAGAATTTCCGGAGGCATCGATCCATCGGATTCAATGGTGACTAGAAAACCACAGTCAAGCCAGAAAACTCGGTTAGAATCTCGATCATGGCGTTTGATTTTACGGTAAATTTCCAAGCGAAGTAATGGGTTTTTTACTTACATATGAAATGGTTTCTAACACGACGTAGAGCCACCCGATTTTCCCAGCCATCTTCTCTTATGCATTCCCTGCATAACGTGCAAGCACGCGGTCTAGCTACCGTGGCCCTTTTCCTACCTGCATTTATTTTCTCTTCAGTCAGTGAAAAAAAATCACAAAGTGGAGTTTTGAAGAGGGAAACAAGGAAGAAATACTTCACCTTTGCCTATGTCTTCAATGTCGAAAACATTAAGGGGGCATGTCTTTACTAGTTGTTCAGCGAGCTCATCCTCAACTTCCTCTAGTAAAACTACCTATAGTATAAACAGTGCGGTAAAAATGGTAAAAAAAAAAAGACATCACAAGGCAAAACCAAGAAGCCAAACCCAAAAACTGCTTGAAAAAAAAGAAAGTAACTTTCACCTCAGGAAGCATCCGGTACCAAGCAGTGGCTACTGGGGACCATTTCGCATGTGTTTTTCCGATGCCTTTAACTGCATGAGCCTCTAGTTCAATTTCCTGCAAGAAATTGCAAAGAAAAGGGACTAGAACAGTAACCTAACCAGATTTTGCTCAAGCATTGTTGCCACTTTCCTGATCAGTAAACTCTTCAGGAAATTTTATGTACGGAATCCAGTCCAGATAGCTACAAAACCCATGTGATATTGTTACCTGACCAGGGCCAAGTTTCGCTATTATGATATCGGAATGCCTTGGGGCGATGGGATTATTAGCAAATTCTGGGAAGGAATCTTGGCTTCGACTGAATGAAGTGTAAGTTTCTGTCTTCGAAGTTGAACCTCCGGAATCTTTAATAAACTCACTCCCATTTGGTAACCATTTCAGTTCGTTGGATTTGACTAAGAAAAATGTCAAGCTTCTGCGTCAGCTAATGAAAGATAGAATTTCCACAAAAAAAAAACTAAGGATTTTAATGTGAAGAAACAGATACTATACCTGTAAGACGTGGTCCGCCTTTTTCACAGCGGACATGAAGTTTGAAAACAATGGTATTCTTTTCATTTGGCTGATCATTTTCTATCACACAGAAAACCAAATGAGAAGGTCGCACATAAAAAAAAAGGACCTATACTGCTGGAAATAGTACATATACCATTGAAAATCTCTTACCAGATAAATATTCGAAAATCCTTGCATCTGCAGCGACGGGAATTAAACCCAATCTATGTGCAAGAACTTCATCTTGGATAAGAGACGTGTTGTTTGCAATAAACACTTTTTCGATAGCCATTGTGGGAAGCTGCAGAATGCAGACATGAATAAGAACAAATACTAAAATGATCTAATATTCAGACATTGATTGCGACATTCAAAAACGCAAAGTAGATTTGATACCTCAGCTATAAGGATTCTTCGGAATGAATTGGCCATTGCTGCATCGATACCGATCATATCAAACTCGAGATCATCCTCTGTTAGCCGAATCACTTCAACTCTGAAATTCTCGCTGAAGTTCTCTAATCTCATACTGTTGTCCACCCCCATTGACGCATATGCACCCGAGTAAGTTATACCTTCAGTCTACATAAACACAACCTTGCAGAACTGAATTAGGCAATCCCGAACGACCAAACCCACCTCCTAACCATAACGAATGGATTAACTCTAGAATAAAGTTTCGAAATTTTGTCCGGAGCGACACGAATGCGATCGACCCATTAACTGGGAGCTCAGTTGGAGAAAGATAAACCACTAAACTGGGACTAAACTGAATTTGAGAAGCAAAAAAGAGCACTAAGCAAGCCGACGGGAGTTCTTACGTGAATAGGGGCATCTTTATTACAGACAACTCGAGTTCGCTGGAGCTCAAGATGCGGCGGAAGTTTGCTGGGAACGTCGGGAAGATCCCATATGTTGAATTTCTTCGTGGTGTTGTCTCCTTTCTGTTCTTCTTCCCCAACCATTGTTTTCTTAAGTTTTATCACCGACCGATTTGGAATTTGAGTCCAGTCCGAATCCGTTCGTTCTGCGCTTGATTCGAGCAGAGAACGCGAAACTCAAATGACAGAAAAACCCTAATAGCTTGTACAAGTCGACGAGGAAGACACGAGACTAGGGTTTTAAGGATTTACGACAGATCTTCTCTGTTTCATTGGGCCAATGTTAGGTACATTGTATTGGGCTTTAATTAAAATTGGGCCACAAGAATGATGGTTTTTTTTTGTTGCAAATGAAAAAAAAACGGATTAGGAACGACAATTATAATATTCTCATGAAAATAATCACAGTAAACATAATTATTTAGCAAATAATTTCCGAGCCGAGCTCGAGCCCGTATTTAGCCCGAAATCTCCGGGCCAGATCGGGCTTGCCCGAAAAATAAACGGGCCTCATTTTATTAAGCCCAGGCCCATACAATTTACGGACGGGGTCGGGCCGATAACGAGTTTTGGGCTTTTTGGACACCCCTCTTATTTACCATTCGTGTGTGCTTTTTATTTGTTTCCCTTGATATGTCTGTCGGCGTTCTTTTTTTGTGTGTAAATACAAGTTGCTTTCTCCATATGATAATAAATCAATTAATTGTCAAAATGAAATAAGATTTTATTATATAAATGTGCGTCTACTCTACATACGCATTTGCGAAGACTTGTTTTCTTGTCAGCCTCGCGTTCTATTCCTCTCATCGGCGTTTCTTCTTTGGTCCGGGCTTCTTTCGGATCGGGATTAGGGTTTTCCTGAAGATCAAGCTTTGTGATCGCAGATGACGACTGCTGCTCGGCCTACTTGGGCTCCCGCCAAGGGTGGCAACGAGCAAGGTGGTGCTCGGATCTTTGGTCCATCTCAAAAGTACTCATCCAGAGATGTCGCCGCTCATACCACGCTCAAGCCAAGGTGGGATTTCGATCCGGTTCTTTCCCGTGTTGTGTCACGGATTTAGATTTTCTGCGATTATGTAATATCTAGTGTTTGCTAGGGTTCCTCTTGATAGAAATGATTGGTGAGGTTGGCTAGATTTATAGGGTTTACTGCCGCGGGTCATGAAGAGATTTTGCGCGTATCTTATGTTCTTGTTAAATTTGATGAAATTGGCTATCTATTGATACTTATTGCTGCGGAGATAGGTTGTTTCGTGGTTTATATGTTTGTTTGCTCCTTGTCGTTGCTTTGTGGATAATTGTCGTAAGTCTGTGCCGCAGTTGTTACAGTTTTGATCTTTCGGCATCCTGTTATTGGCTGAATATCATCGTCTTTTTTTGTTCGTTTTGTTTTCAGGAGGGAAGGGCAGCACACTCAAGAAGAATTGCAGAAGAAGAATCTTCGCGATGAGCTTGAGGAGCGTGAGAGGAGACATTTCTCATCCAAAGACAAGTCTTACAGTGGTAAACAAGATGGTTTTTGAGAAAATATCCAGCGTTCTTCTCACTGTGATGATCTTATTTAGTTTCTACCATTTCTACTGCTGCAGCTGGATTGATGTGTATTGTTGTGTCATTTCAGATGATAGAGATCGCAGAAGGGGAAGTCATCTTCTACTAGAAGGTCCATTAGTGTCATTTATGAATCACAATAGACTTTGTTCAGAACATTATCTGACATGGATATATTGTCTTTAGGTTCTAAAACGGATCCTGAACACCGGATTGTTCCTCGTAGTGCAGATGCTGATGATTCTGACATTGAGGCCAGAAGTGCAGATGATAGGTTCGCTATTTCCTGATGTGTCTTGTCTTTGCTATTTTATGTTTTCTTCCATAATCTGATGGTCCTTTTGGATTACTTTATATCTGATTGGGAGGATCAAAATTATAGTTGTACGTGCTGCATTTTGCTATGATATGCTAATTATTTTAACATGTTTCTGAATGGTTTTCTATTATCTGCATTCTAGACTTTTTCAATAAAAAAAAGATGGTCTGTTCTATCTATTTGTTCTTTTGGTTTTGTTTCATACCAAGTCATTTTGTAGTACTAACTTGTCATCTTTATTGAGTGGCTATGTGATTCGTTGTAGATAAATGACAAGTCTTGGTTGTCATTTCTCTTTAAATGTGTTTTTCGTGACTCTTTCTCCAAACTAAACTCTTTAGTCCCTTTTAAATCTTATTTCGATTTGATTATTGTGTTAGTGATGAAGAAAGTGACGATGACGATGAGGATGACACTGAAGCTCTTTTGGCTGAACTTGAGCAGATAAAGAAAGAAAGAGCAGAGGAGAAGCTCAGGAAGGTAAGATTAGTCTTGTCCGCGAGGATATCTGCGCAGATACTGTTTTCTGGATAGCTTGGAAATAATTTGTTTATAACTCTCCCACATCCCCATTTAATTGGGAAATCTATTGTGGTAAAGGGTTACTTCGTCTTGTTGAACAAATTGTATGACGTGAGTTATCCAGGAAAAGCAGGAACAGGAGGAAGAACTAAAAGTTAAGGAAGAGGCGCTTCTTCGAGGGAATCCACTACTTAACACTCCAACCTCATTCAGTGTCAAAAGGAGGTTAGTCAATTTTATGATCTTGTGATTGTATTTAGTGTAGGAGGCATAGTTTAAGATTCCTTTTCCTCTGGTCAGGTGGGATGATGACGTGGTTTTCAAGAATCAGGCTCGTGGGGAAACAAAAACACCTAAGCGCTTCATCAATGATACGATCAGGAACGACTTCCACCGAAAATTCCTGCATAAATACATGAAGTGATTGAACCGAGGGTTGTTATTACTTGATTGTGTGATGAACCAAGGGTTTATATTCTGTCTTGGTTGTGGTGTCCTTGTACTAAAACAAGAGCAGAGCAGACTGACAATTGTATGAAGGTTTATTATATCGAGCCCATATGCTCAACTTGAATGCTATTTTCCTGGTTTCTGTTCAGCTCTTGCCCATCATCTAACATCTTGAGACTTCAAAACTGGAGAGAGCTTGATGAATCTAATCCCATAGTTGCTGTATGAGCTTGTATATGTTTTTGGCTCACGTCTTATTTTCAGATATGACAGATATTGATTCTCTTTCAGACTTCAGAGGGAGAAGTAAACACAGGCGGTAGCAGAAAGCCATGGAAAGCAGAATCCACAAATCATGCAAGCCACCATTCTCTTAGTGCACCAAACTGAAGCTCCTAGGAAATCTCCTGCATCCTGATCATTATGAGGCAGAAACTAGTCTTAATCGCCTGAAAGAATCCTTGGAAAAACAATGGTATAGTCACTCACCCCGTTTTTTCTTGGCTTACTTGGCGTGTGATGGCTATTAATAGTATTGTGAACAAGGTGAAAAGGAAGCGGGACAGGCCTCCTAGATCCAGCCACAAAGTAGACGATGACCATAAAAAATGTTAGGTAGAAAACGTGTGCCAACATATCACATAGTGTATGGCATCCGTACTATATGCTTAGTCTGTACATGTCAGCTTTTCATCTTTCACTTATGTAGATTTTCTCAAAGGGGTATACATTTACTGTTCTGAAGATGTACGAAGATGTCCAGAAGATGCAGACAGCAAAACATCAAGCCAACCTGTCGGTAGGAGTTATGAAATAAGTAAGAGTTTTATAAGCAAAAAGCTGGCAAAGAATTGTGAAGAAGATGCATTGGGAATCATAAGAATCAATCATGAAAAAGTTGGTGTCTTAACTGCTCGAGTGCTGAGATTTTTTTATGTATGACATTTACATTCATTCTCACTGAAGCATTATTTTCTGGTTTTGTGCTCATCTGCAGGTCTGTTATACGTATATCTTATAAGTGGTTTTCTTTTAGATTTTTTGGGAGGCTTACCAAGAAGAATGATGAAGCAAAACCTTCTGATGTAAACGTGGCTGGTGGTCCGAAGACAGATGAAAATAATTTTCGATGTACTTCGGATGACAGGGAGGTGAAGAACGGCAATGAGACATTTGATATGCATAAACAGGAAGTTGTAGCTGTCCTAAAAGATCTTAAACCATCTGCTGAAATCTGTCATGAGTCTTGTGTGCAAAAGCTTATCCAATGATTCTGTTGATGTTGATCTCTCCTTCCATAGGGCAGATGATCCCGGTGTAAGTGAACCATTGGACCTTTCTTTGAGACTGGCTTCTGGGAATGAAGAGATCTGTTCTCAACTGCAAGGTGACTGTTATCCAGAGTCAACAGACAATACGACTTCTGAAGATTATTCTCCCAAGGTATCGGTCCCTCTCATTGATTGTGTTGTATCATTTTGGGGTATTGGGTATTGGGTTAGAGAACTTCTGTTTTGCATAATTACAACAATGATGTCAACGACTTCCAACAGTGTTGAGTACTTACACTTGATCGTTATCATTCTGTGTCGGTGAGGTGTGAGACTGTTTTAAGTTGCAGAACCAAGAGAATGTGATTTTGGAGGAACTATTGTCTGGATCTTTAGCTGCATAACCTTGGCAACGAGCTGGAATTTTTCAAGGCAGCTGTGGAGAGGTTATTTGACGACAAGCATCCTGTTGAATTCTGTCTTGGACAGCTTAGTCAACATTTACCATTTACCAGCTGGAAGGCGTAATAACATGGATCTTCAAAGGCAAGGGAATAAAACAGTATCCAGTTCTCCTTGAACTTAAGTTGTCTATTTTTCTTGGGTATGTGGTAATTTTATCAGGGATGATGTAAGGTTGTTAGAGTCCCAGATCGGAAATATGTGGGAACAATTGAGTCAATATAATACCATGGGCAGCCTTCCCCAATAAGCTAGCTTTTGTGGTGGAGTTAGGGTCTTAAATCTTATTAATTGGTATCAGAGCCTAACTCTCTACTTTCCGGTGGGCCTTTGACGGACCGTTTTCCTGCGGACATGCAGACGACGCGGTGGGAGAGGAACGGTCGGGAGAGGAGCACAAAGGGTGCGTAGCCGCCAGCGACGCGGCTACCGC